AGAAGAGTTAACTTTGAAGAAGAAATAGAAAAAAATTGATTTGCATGCTATTGTAAACACTATAAAAACAAACAATTTTTGTCAAAATGGCACAATTTATATTTATAGTTCTGATCAGGCCTAGAAAATATGTAGTACTAACAGGAACAAATTTTTGATTGGCACCCCCTTGAGTGACATTGAGTTTAAATGTCAGGAAAACAGCCTCCGCCACAACTCATTGTGGATTGATGCCCAGTTGGACTTTTTGAGAGCTATTACTTTATGGAAAGTTTCATCATAAGATTTTGCCGATTTGAATCCAAACTCTGAGGCCATTTTCCTTATTTTATTGCCGTACTTCAAGCTGAACTCCGATTACAAAAGCTAATGAGGAAGACCACGAGTCATGAATGGGGAGCAAACCGGGTTGTCCTCATGATGATTTACCGTTCTCTTATATGTCCTGTACTAGGTGCAAGACCCATTACACTAAAAAAAAAAAATAGACACCATACAATACAAACCGATTTGTATTGCTACCGGGTGCGGCATACTTGTCAAGCGTGAGTCATTGCTACAGGAAGTAGACGAACTCCCTCTGTCACTAAGATGGAAAAAACTGACCCTGGGGCATTGGGCAAAACTAAGCCGATTGGGGGAAAGGTGTCCTGCCTTTCGCGAAATCTCAAGGTTTACTAGAGTCAGAGACGACATCAAGAAGTCGTACGACAGGGTTGTTGGCAAAAAGGTTAGAGATTTCGGTCTCGAAAAGCTCACCATCAATAGTACAGAAGATACGATTAGGGCCCCTTGGACTCTCCCAGTACTCTCGGTAGATACCTCCCTGGTCCTGAGGATAACGCGTCAAATTGGACTTACATACACATGGACGGATCGCACAACCCCGACAACAGTATAATGGGCTTTGGGACTGCCAAACATGCGCTCTGTGTACACCTCGGAAATGTACGCGATCAAAGAAGCCTTAGTGTAGATATCCAGCCAAAGGAAATCAAACTATGTTGTTCTCAGTGACTCTCTAAGTAGCCTGGGATCAATAAGGAACCAGAGATCGGACGCCCGTCCCGAAAAACTGACCCAAATCTACCTAGTGTACGAAGAGTATCTGGGGCAAAGGGTAATCAGATAGTATTGACATAGGTCCCATCGCACGTAAACCTAGGGGATCGAAGAGGCAGATAGACTCACCCTAAAAGGGCCACAATTGGAAGAACCAAGTGTCGAGCTCCCTTACAGCATGAATAAATTTAAAGGTATGGTTGGGCTACACATCAGCTCTGAATGGGAAAATTCCCTCCCTGAGCTCAACACATACAGATTCAGATCCGATAAGTCCTTAAATCCTAAGTTATCTGCAAATCATCCCAGCAGAAAAATCTGCCAGTTAATAACAAAGCTGAAGGTGATCACGAGATCTATGAGCTAATTAATGAATTCGTGTGTGAGATTGGTATCCGAGATTATATGATGTGACCCCGGAGGGACGAAAAGAGTGTTCTACTCTGTGAAGACTTGAGATTTTACCCCATGACCCAATGGACGGGATCCATAAGTGATCATCCTGAGGGATACTGGTAGTCGAACGTCCCTACGTGAAGGGATGTCTGGTACCCTGAGGGGGGCGTTTTTTTAGTTTTTGTGGATCAGGCCAATGGCATGACAACGCCTAGCCTGGAAGACATTTCTTGCATATCCAAACCCAGGTCGGACGAGCGACGGGCCCTAGGGCCCCGCTAACAGTCAAACCTAAATTTATCTACCACATCCCCGAAAGTAGGTCGGACAGTCGTTTTGGCTGACAGTCAAACCTAAATTTTACCTACCACATCCCTAAACCCATGTCAAACAGGCGGCAGGCCCTGGGGCTGGGTTGACAGTCAAATCTAACTCTACCATACCACATACTTGAACCTAGGTCGAACAGTTGGCGGGCGCTAGGGCCAGGTCGACAGTCAAGCCTAAACTTACCTACCACACCAAAGATCTTAGCATTATGATTATAGCAAAGCGAACCAGACTGCGCACACTCGCCATTATTTCTTTTTTACACCCGTAGCCTTTCCTTTCGATGAAATTTTCATTTGGCGCTTCGAATTCCCTTCAAAGACACTCTGTCTTACCAAAATAAGCTGGATCAAGCCTATTTTGTGGCTTCCTCTGACAAGTTTGTTAGGAAACACTTGTCTACAATATGCCATTTTAAAGGCATCGATGTGTTCTTTATTCCTTGCAAGTTTAAACTTGATACCTCAAATAGTGATGGAATGTCGAAAAAATGACGAAGAAAACTTTAGCAAATCTTTGATCGAGCGAACTTCCGAATTTCGAAAAACCGTCAGTCAGAGCCCATATAGGATTCGTCAAAAGAATCTAAAAATTAAAACCTGAAGAAGATCCACTAAGAAATAATTGAGATTTGGGCAATCTGAGATTCTTTTTTGTCCCATCCGTAAAACAGTTTGTTTCTCAAAAATGACCAAACTTATACTTAATAAATAGCGGCACTAATAGACTACGGTAATTTTGATTTACAGTCAACTTGATCGCTTGACGTAAAGCTTCCAATCTCAAAGGTAGAGGCCAATTCAAGCCGTTTTCCTATACCCGTCTCCAGTGAAGAAATTGATCTATTAATTTATTCACAGACCAATGCTAACACAAGGAAAAATACAAAATGGGCCATGAACATTTTTGATGTGTGGAGAGAAACCCGGTCGCAAACAGATAAAATAACCGAGTTACATCTTATGGAACTCCCAGTAATGGAATTCTGGCTTCAAAGGTTCATAGTTGAGGCGCGTAAAAAAAAAACGGCGACGAATATCCCCCCATATCGGTGTATTACATAATCTGTGTCTTGATGAGGCTTTTGCGAGATAAGAATGTGACCATAAATGTATTGGATGAAACTGATAAACGGTTTATGTCTATCCGAAAAGTTTTAGATGCCAGAATGAAAGAGTTGGCTTCCAGAAGCCTCGGAAGTACATGTAAGCCTAAAACAGCTGATCCACTGTCAGATTCTGATGAGGAGAAGTTATGGTCAACAGGGGTGTTTGGATTGAACAATTCAACAAGCCTTCAGTACACAGTGTTTTTGTATGCATGCAAGCTGTTGGTACAAACACAGAAATTTAGAAGCTTCTCAGTTTGAACTTGGAAATGATACTAATGGAGATTACATAAGATTTATTGGAAGAAATAGTAAAACTTTTTCGGGAGTTCTCGCTCATTTACATATAAAAAACAAAGACATCAAACATTACTGTACTATATATGGTGGTAAGTTTATTGAATGTTACAAAATTCACATTATTTTTAAATAGTTAAATATGTTTTTGTCCATGGTTTGGTTTGTTTTGTTTTGTTTGGGGGCACTTTTCGAGTGTCTTACGTTGTTGTATTTGTAACGGTTGGTGTCCACTGAGCGCGAAAAGTACTACCCATTAATGTAAATCTTAATAAGCGACACCAGCCTTAAGTCCAGTAGTCAAAGATGTATTTCTTTCCAACTCCCACATTACACTTATAAATATCTATAATTTGGCATCAATTGAAATTTTTGAATTTCTTATGAACATAAAAAGTTACTTACATACCGCACTTAAAACTACAATTATGGGCTTTATAAAATTGACTGACCATTACCAGTATTAAAACCTACTTGGAGGCCATTGGAAACAGGAACTTTTACAGAAAACCATTGATCTCTGGGTTAAGATATGGAAAACAACCAGCGGGTGTCAACAAATTAGGACAATTTATGCGAGAGATGTGTAATCAGGCAGGTTTACAAGGAAACTATACAAATCAAATCGGGAAAGAGAACATGTGCAACGGCCTTGTATCGGGCAGGTATTGATGAGCAGAGTATTATGGACAGAACCCGACATCGGTCCAAAGAGACCTGTAGGGTCTATAAAGTTAAATCGGACGAGTTGGAAAATAGAGTTTCTGTTACGTTAAATCCTCTCTGTAAAACCGAAAATCTTGAAATTGAGGAGCCCCCATCGCAAATGTCAACCAGCGGCTGCCAGGCAGGATACGCCCACATTTTCGAGAGACGGATAGAGAACAAGCTAAAAAGAAAGTGATTTTTCCTACAATCAAGGACCATAATAATTCAGGAAATTACAATTCGATATGCGCAAATATCGAAAGGAACCAAGATCTTTGTGTTATAAACTTACATTTCAAGTTTCAACAAAATCGGATAAAAATTGTGACCTCCATAGGATCCACAACCTTGATATACCATATTTTTACGCTATTTGAGAACGAAGGGCGGCCATTTTGTCTGTCAGTTTTGGGCCGATTTTCACGAAATTCGAACTCAAACCTCCTTAGGGTGTAACTGTGATATAATAATACGTTTTTTAAAATCGGATAAAAAGATAATATCTATGGCTAACACCACCCTTTGTCATTTTTAGTCTATTTTTAAAATGGAGAGAAGTATTCATGTTTGGGGGAAAATCGGAAGGCCTCTGTAATTTCCTGATGCCGTCACAAAATTTTTTAATATGCCATTTTTGGAAGACATCGATGTGTTTCTTATTCCTACCACATTTCAACTTGGTACCTCAAATAGTGACGGAGATACGTCATTTTGAATGTCGAAAAAATGCTGAAGAAAACTTTCGCAAATCTTCGATTGTATAACTAATAGAGCAAGATCCTTTTGTGGAATATGGCCAAAGAATCAAAAAATGAAAACCCGACGAAGATCCTTTGAGAAATAACCGAGATTTTGTCCCATCAGTAAAACACTTTCTGTTTGTCAAAAATAAATAATTCCGCGGAGGCCAACAAAATCTACATTGGCAGACTGTTCGCATCATGTACAGTTTTGGCTGCAACTTCTGACTAAAATCAGCAAAATAAATAATAAAAAATAAAAACACTTTCGAAAACAATACGTGTTTCGTACCAAAGGTACTGAAACACGTAATTAAATTTACAATTACAAATAAATGAAATGTGAGTAAACACATTACCTTGCATATTGCTGGACACAGGCTCTGTAAATAAAAAAATAAAAAATTCATAAACTAGATTTCTAAATATAAATATTACTAGATCTGCAAGGCAGATATGAAAGCTGTCATATTCACCGTCAGTTTCTGTCACATGTCATGGGTTATATAAAGAATCTCAACAAGGAAAAAGAGTTATTAAAATCGATCAAAACTCGAAGTTATATACGTATTTATAGGGAGTAACATTGCACCCGAGCAAAAGAAAAAACATCTGGAAAATAAAGGAAAATAACTGGGACTTGTATTGATGAAATGGGCTTTAACGTCCTGCTTCTACTGACCTAATTAAGACAGGCATACGCTATACAGAATGCTATGAGGTAAATTTTGCCTGGGCATCAGCACTATGGCCTACTCTTATATCGAATTCCAACTGCCAAGAGATCTTTAACATGGACCCCAATTTATAGACGGGTCCTCAGTTGATCGGCCCATCCGAACGATTAGACAGCTGTTCTTGCTGGGCCTCAGTTCTGTACCACTGACAAGGGAAAACGATGCTGAAAAATGCTGATATTTATGCATATATACAGTGTATAGTGAGTAACATTGTGCCCGGGCAAAAAAAAAATTTGGGAAATAACTGAGATTTGTAATCGAAATGACCCCCCGTTCCAGAAGTTTAAAATACGGATCATTTCATTTTCTTATTTTAAAACTTGAAAGATATTTCTATAGTTCAAAGAGCTAGCATAAAGTCACCTGGCTGGGACAGCGGGTGTTTCCATACATGTATATCAAACAAAATCAAAACCATGCTATGGACAATATTGCGCAAACATGAAACCCTAAAAAATGTCAGAAACTGTTCGAATATAACATATTGAATAGGTTTTATATCGGAGAATTTACTTTTTCCCCCCAGATTACGACACTTACGAGGTTTAGTCTAATATCCCCAGATCACTTGAATTAGGTTAAAAGGTGAATTATCGATATAATTAACGGCGATGGCTATATAATCTGGATATCTGTCTACGTTTATAGTTTTAGGTTACTAAGCTTTAACGTAGCAAGTATTGAAACAGGCTGACGAGTGAAGTCAAGTCAACTAATAGACTGCTAAAATATAACGAGAACCATTCCCCATGGCCAAAAGGTAATCTAAAAATAAAAAGATATTGCTGAGACCGTATTGCTGAAACCGGATTTACTTTCCGTTGCAGACGTTTCTGAAAAATCATTCAAATTGTTTAAAACCCAGAAGAATCAGAAAATGAGTAGAAAATGGCAGGAAAAATGCTGAAATGGGACTAACATAAAAAGCACATCTAAGTATAACAAACGGTTCCCAAGTAAGATACGCTCACATTTTACAAGGAATGGACAGAGAATAAGCTTGAAAAAACCCTGATTTTTCGGACAATCAGAGGCCATCATCCAGCAGGTTACGGCCCGATAAGCGCAAGTATGGAAAGGTGCCTAGATCTTTGGGATATAAACATGCATGTATTTTTAAGTTTCATCAAAATCAGATAACAAGTGTGACCTCTAGAAGGTCCACGACCTTGGTATTATATACTTTTACACTATTGGCCTACGGTGAGCAGCCATTTTGTCGGGCAGTTTCAGTCCGATTTTTATGAAATTTGAACTCGGCTGTAAGTGTCATTATGGCGTAAAGATGATATATACGCGAATATTGAAAGGAACCGAGATCTTTGGGATTTAAACATATATTCTAAGTTTCATCAAAATCGGATCAAAATGGGTCCCTGAGGGTCTGGCATGACTAAAAACAATAGGGATCATCCTTAGGGTATAAGGAATAAGTATGCAACATTTCAAGACGACCAGTTAAGAACTGCAGCCTGTAGGTGACACACAGACACACCCCATACATGTATTCCATCCCAAACGAGGACTGTGTAATGGTACTAGACGAAGAAAATACAGATTTTAATGGATGTAAATCTACAGAATGACTCAAAAAAACATTTGATTAAACCGGTTTTCTAAAACGAACTACAGATGTCATAAATGAGGATGGATGAGCAGTGGAATTACAAAATAAGTGTGTGAGTTTTTATAAAGACAAATATTTGAGGCGCATGAACGACTATCTCTGCGCTAAAGCTTGATATTTCCCCACAATCATATTGATATTATATAATCCATCAATCTGCTGAAACAAAACATGTGGTAAAGTTTTTAACTTGTCGAATAGTTCAAGGGAGATCGTTATACGTGAGCGTACGTAGTCAAGTTTTTTTTTATCTTTTTAAAACACCAGTAGGCCTACTACTTTTATTTTCCAAGTTGGCATTACCGGTACTTAGGATTATAATGCATGGGAATAATTCTTTAACTTATATAACCATCAAGACATTAAAACTCAGACCACTACTTATCGCAGAAGCAAAAACGATCTACCACAGCATCGTATGGTTTCGACCTTTCAATATAAACACATAATCCATTCTTGATTACGACCGTGTAAATAAGTTTGCTTCCATACTATCGATTATAGAATAACATTTCACTGCCGATTATCGATAGTAAAAATCGCCATCGATACCCAGCTCTTTCTATGTTACAGAATAATTCTTACCAGATTTGTATCTTGTCATCGGCACCTATCAGCCATTTTTTTTCAGATCTGGTCCAAATTTTTCCGAGCAAATGAGGACAGCAGGTAACTCAATTTTTTAAACACCTGCCTTGTTTCAAGTAATTTTTATGGGGTGGGGTGGGGGTGGGGTGGGGGGATGTATACATATGGATGTACCCAAATGACACAATACACATACGTACCCACACACACACACACTCACAAAGGGGCGACGTGGACATATAAAAATGGTTAAAATATTGTGTAATGGCAAATGAGTTGCCAGGTGGGACAGCGCTACAATTCTTACAAAAGAGAGAGAGAGAGAGCAAGAGAGAGAGAGAGAAATGGGGTACAAATTATTTGTTGATGGTAGACTGTACCAGGTTGGAGAAGACCTAGATATAACAACAGATCAAGTAAAGGCACAGGTAGCTAGACCATGGGAATATCAAAATCGCTCTGATGAAGCCAGGAAACGCCAATTAGTTCAGCTTATACTGAACAGCCTTCAAGTAAAAGACAGGAAAATGCAGGGAGTATATAATCAGTGTGCTATCTTGGAATGTTGGTAAAGTTCTATGTGAAAAACTTAAAGACAGTTCCTTTGTTGATATGATATCTACATATCATAATGTATGATAAATACTGATGATCAAATAGAAATCCCCAACTATCATGCGCATAAATTTGTGAGAGACTTTGGTAAAGGTAGTGGAATAGTTATTTTCGTTAAAAATACAATTCTCAGGCTCTGTTCAGTTGTTGATAATGTTTTTGATTCTATTATTGTCCTGGAAATTAGAAGCCAGCAAGAGGCCGTTTTTATTTGTGCGAGTTATTTCCCACCGTATAATAGTTTATTTTATGATAAATATGATGTTGATTTATTTATCTATCTAGAAGACATTATTAATAAGTATATCGATAAAGGAATTATCCTAACTTGCGGTGACTTTAACAGCTAAGTTAGAGGGGCTAAGTATTGATGTTACGAATAAATTGACAGACTTGTGTCAGTATATTCCAGATACACCAATGATCTTACGTAATAATATGAATACGGTTATAAATCAATTTGGACGAAAATTAATTAACTTCTGTAAAAATACAGGTTTAAGAATTTTAAATGGTAGAATAAATAACGATCTAGATGGAAAATTTACATTTAACAGCAGAACCATGGTTCAATGATTCTTGTTTGAAAAGATACTGAGACTACAAATGCGCGCTACTCGCATTTAATGTTGACAAAAGTAATGAAAACCGTTCACTCTTTAATCGAACAAAGGGATATTACAAAAAATTGGAACGACGGTTAAAACATGATTTTAAAAGCCACCAGGGCAACTTAGTACAACTTGTTAAAAAAAAAAAACCCGAAGCTATTTTACAAGCTTTTCAAAAACAAAAATCTGTTACTACAACATTAGAGATTGACGATTTACATAAACATTTTAAAAATTTAGCATCTACCCGTCCTACTGTAGACAAAAGTATTATAAATTATATTAATACGTATGACTTGACTTCAAAATTTTGTAAAAGCGAATTAGACAATGTTATAACAGAGAGTGAAATATGAGAATGTATACAAAAACTTAGGCTTAATAAAGCTTCATCTTGCGATAATATCCAAAATGAACTCATAATACACTGTAAAGACGTTCTGATGCCCTGCTTAGTCGAAATTCTTAATAATGTTCTCAATTTGGGAGGCTTTCTTTCAATGTGGGCCATAGGAAACTTGGTGCCAGTCTACAAGAAAGGGGACGCTAATAATCCAAATAACTATAGGGGAATATCTACTGTCTCATGTCTAGGAAAACTGTTTACTTCTATCCTGAATAAAAGACTAATAAAATTTGACAAAAAATATAACATAATACCACCGAGTCAGTTTGGATTCCGAAAAAATGTAAGTAGGGTAGATGCAATTTTTGTTCTCCAAGCACTTATTAACTGAACACTAAAACAGAAAAAACGTATATACTGCTGCTTTGTGGATTACAGTAAGGCTTTTGATTTTGTTAATATATACAGTTTATGGCATAAGCTTATCAGGGAATAGGGGCTAACTTTCTTAAGGTAGTTAGATCTCTATACAAAAAGTTGTGTTAAATTCAAAAATATATTTCAGTGTCAAAATGGTCTCCTCCAGGGCGAGGTTCTCGCCCCTGTCCTATTTTCAATGTATTTGGATGATTGTGAGTCTCATTTACTAGCGGACAATTGCCCAACTGTAGATATACAAACCATTACAAACGTTAAATATTTGTATGATTATGTATGCTGATGACAAGGTTTTGTTCTCAGAAACCCTAGAGGGGCTGCAAAATTTATTAAACCCTCTGTGTACTTATACACAAAAATGGGACTTATCTGTAAATATTTTAAAAACTAAAATCGTGATTTTTAGAAATAGTGGAAAAATTGACGAAAAAGAAAACTGGTCATTCTATAATCAAAATCTTGAAGTTGTTGGCTCATTTAACTACCTAGGAGTATTGTTGAATTTTAATGGTAAATTTATAAAAACGCAAAAAAACGTATCTGACCAGACCAGAAAAGCACTTTTTTCCATTTTAAAAGTATGTAATGAAAACTATTTTAACCCCGTAACAAAATTGTCAGTTTTCGACACCTACGTGAGTAGTATTTTATGCCTGGGTCGGAAGTTTGGGGCTTTCATAAAGCTTAGGATGTCGAAAAGGGGCATCTGAATTTTTGCAAAAGACTTCTTCAAACACGAAATAGTACTAGTATTGTTATGATATACATGTACTATGAATTGGGTAGATATCCACTTTCTATATTAAGAAAAATTTGAATATTCAAATATTGGTTAAAGTTAATTAACACCGACAATATAATTCTTAGACGATGTTACAATGATTTGTGAATAAACAATGATAACTGGATATTAATGTTAAAAAAGAATTATTTAGGCTTGGATTATTAAATATTTGGAAAAATAATGGTCTTGTAAATTCTAAACGCACATTGTCTGTAATAAAACTTCATTTAATTGACATGAAAAAAATCATTGAATCGTCAAAATATCACCCGTACAAATATATTGTAGATATTAGTTTACACTCCAGTTCTATCTAACTAAATCGATAAATAAGAAATATATATGTGAAATAACAAGAATAAGACTTTCTAGCCACAATTTAAATATCGAGAAAGGCAGATATGTTAAGACCGTTAGGAAAGACAGATTATGTATTTTGTGCAATAAACTAGATGTCGACGACCAGTATCATTTTATTCTTATTTGTCCCAGATACAAAGACCTGCGAAATAAATTTATAAAGCAATATTATAGTAAAAACCCAAGTGTCTATAAACTAATACAACTCCCTGCCCCTAAGAACACCACAGAATTAGAGAATCTGGGTCGATTTCTATTTCAAGCCAATAAGAGAAGATCTGAACTTATCATTAAAGTATAATCACCTCTTTAACTCTTTTTTTGTACATCTTATAAACATACTCTCCTTGTACATTCTGTATATATATATAATGTCATTGTATGTCGTTTTGTATGTATTGTTGTATGAGTGTTTTACCCGATAGGTTTTTGACCTAAGGGAATAAAGAACTAGATATCGTAGACAAGGGGGGTATAGAGTGTGTAACACGATAAACATATTGATCACTTAATTACCTGATCGATCCAGTCTTTTATCAACGATAATCGAGATGAGTAGTAGTTATACAATCAGCACAGTCAATATATTTGGGAATTTTGAATATTATTCACCATATCTTGATGTCCGATTGGGCATATTGTTGGTCGGATGTTTGGAAAATCGCGAAGGGTATGTTTGGAATATAACGGCGAAGTAGCATCCATTTTCTTTTTAATCTTTTGGAAGGCTTAAATTGTCAAGACATCAGATTAGTGGTCTAATTAGGCTCAAGGATATTATTGTACTCTTGTTACAGTTTCTATGTTAATAAATGCACCAGATGAATACACAGACCATAATACAACATCTAGTTTTAATTAGATATGATGTTTTAATTAAATTGGGTGTTTTAAATAAATTGGGTGTTTTAATTAGATATGATGTTTAATTAAACTGGCTGTTTTAATTAGAAAGGATGTTGTAATTAGATTGAATGTTTGATAATAAAGATAGGTGGTTGATAATGGTAATAGCTGTGCATTTAATACTCACGATCAATAATTCTCGTTTCTGCTGGTCTTGGACATTTAACAGTACCCCTTGTCGGTTGTGTTACTTTTGTTCCATTTGGCAACACACACCAACACATACCAAAACTATCCCAACATTGTTGTGATTTCCAGGTTCCATCCATATTACATCTAAAACAAATATCCAACTTTAAATTCAAATATCAACTCTTTCTAATATAGTTAAAGACCATAAATACAGTGTGCTAAAACCAATTGTCATTTTCCTTATTTAAAATAAAACAAGAACTGAAAGTTTCCTTTAGATAGTAATCTAGATTATGAAGACGTCGTGACTTCGATGTTCATGGATAGAAATTGGTTATCATTCAGCAACTTGATGTTCTAAGACAGAAAAAGATGATGTCATAAAATAATTGAGGTTAATTGCTAAAGTATTCATCTTTTCATTACAAGAATTCATATTTAAAGATACATTCTCACAAAGTATTTATAGGGTAGTTATTTGGTAAACATGGCATATTCGATATGGAAAGTAGAGACACTCAATCTTACTAGAAAAATAATAGATTCCCTGAAAAACACCCATGGGGCACCAACTCCTTGGCTGAGTGTGTGTGTGTGAAATAGCTTTATTTAACGTCCACTTCCACCGAAGTAATATCGCATGTTATATATATATATATATATATATATATATATATATATATATATATATATATTAGCTTCATTAATTTTCTTAAAACCAACCCATGATTATCTTCCACTCATTGTTCCTAAATTGAACCCATACACTACAGATTAACACAGGTGTATACATGTTTTCTATAAGTAAACGATATACTATGTAACCATAGACAATGGTAACTATAGCCAATTAAAACCACAGTGTTACTATGTAAATATGTATAAATATACTATACTGTCCATCTCTATACAATGACATTATTTATGAATAGTCCCAAGACAGACGAAAAGTACTTTAAAATGTTAAAATGTTATTAAACCAGTGTTGAATGAAATCATTTTTTTGTCAGCATACCTTTTATCTTTTCATCGTTTACAGTGAAACAAAGTAGTGCAGCTTTACGGTTGTACTAATATTTCTGGATATATATATATATATATATATATATATATAGATAGATAGATAGATGTTTATTGCATCACAACGTCCATGAAGGACAGCATACATGTTATATATACAGATGAAATATTTACAGGGTGATTAGCGAAAAAATGAACAGAAGAAAACGATGGACGATGTAAATTTAACAGACTTGAACAAGTATACATTTATGTAACAGGTACTTTTAACGAATGTGCAAATAATATGTACATAGAGACCTAAGGTACACTTCTTAAAGCTAATTATTGTGAAAACATTGAGAGACTTAAACATCCATGCGATTAAACGGCGGAAAGAGGGATTGGCAGAGGATAATCCAAGAATTTACTTAGGCTTTGATATTGTATGATTAAATGGAAAGTGGCTAACCACAAATACAAACTAAAAATGAATTCTCCTTCAATCAAGTCACATGATAAACAAGGGTTCTTAACATAGAATCTTGTAGCATGGGGTAATTTAAATTAAAATGTTTTGAGACGGATTTGAAGAAAACATTTGATAAATGAAATTAGTTTTTGAATATGTTTTTAGTCCAAATATACCATCAAATCACAAAATTTGTACAAAAGGCATTTTTATAGGCTTACATTATGAGACTGCATTTCATTTTTCTCAACTGTGAATATTGTAATGTTTTAATATAGTGTTACATATGTTATTCTTCTCTACTGATAATTACTGGGCCTACTGTGCAATGGGGTAGGGGCATGCGGATCCTGTAAAGTACATTAAGTTAACTTAATTGCGAAAAGTAAGTTGCTGAATAAAACTGAGACACAAACTAAACTGGAAATCAATTAAAATCAGCTAATAATAGCTTCACAGTTTTTGCCTATTTTAATATCATATCCTGACCACATTTAAATTTAAGTGGTCCAATTTTCACATCATAATGGTCAAAAGCGGCAAAATATACATATATATCATCATATCTTTAAAAAAAACAACTGTAGATAGACCATTCATGAATATGATGAAAGGATCTATAGAGTTAATGCCATTTTCATAAATATGAATTTATGCCCCAAACAATTATGCCTTAAACATTTCAATGTGGGCGTATAAAAACAGTGAACAAATAAATGAACTAAGGGAAGTAACTCTCATTATGCCAGGAACGCTGCATTCGGCTAACCAAAATGTTGGCTTTTAACGGTAACGTTATAAGTGTCGACTTTTGTTGACATGGGTCAGTTAAGAGTCAGTCAACTTCACTTAAGTACACGTTACCTTGGTATAAAGAAGGAAGAACATTGACTCAGTTGTCCAGATTTCATCTGCAGCGCGACCTTCTCCAACTCTTGGAAACATGTTGATGTGGCATTCTCTGTAAAAAAAACCAAAACAAACGTCACTTTGAGTACATTTCTAATTATGGCATTGTTGCTATATGTCGTGACAGGTGTTGTGTGCACGAAGTAGAATTTGTTTAATGATGTGTACCATATTTTACGTGAAGTTGAACCATCATATTTTACTGTTTTTCCAACCGGTGTATAAGACAATTGTTTTTCACCTCCACTCATAGCAATTATTTTTTATCGGGAGTGTTGTCCTAGTCTAATACTGTACCGATGTATGTCAAAACAAAAATGGCCCATAATTAGGGTTTGGATTATTATAAGGGTATCACTACAAAAAACTTTTTTATTTACGAATACTTTTTGGTGGTATTTTACACAGGATTAATTACAATCAACAAATAGAATGAACTCATGCGGTCATATAGATATCACAAAATGGTTTCTAACTTGTTCAGCTGTGGAGAAATAGGCGATTTTCTACAAGTCACTTTTCAAGGTTTTTTGGTCCATAAAAGTGTCAATTATTATTTGATTTTCATAAAAAATTTACCATCCATGTGATGCATAATGCCATTTATGATTGTATAAAGCTAATTTTACATATTCATTATCACCGAAAGTAATGTAATTTTGGCAAAAACTGTATTTTTATCCTCCAAAACAAATATTTGTTTGAAGTAAGTGATATTCATTATTCGTATAAAATTATGATATTTCATTTCAATGGACAAATAGTATGAATCAATACAATCATATAGATATCAAAAATGTGTTTCTGACATCCTCCCTTGTCGAGAAAGAACCAATTTTGTCAGGATCACTTTTTAGATTTTTAGCACTTCAATAAGGTTTTATAAAGGGTTTATTCTGTTTAAATTTGGATCAATTTTCTGTCATGCGAAGGAAAATCAAAGTAGTTATTTCTGTAATCAAATTTAAAGATTTTGTTGATAACGGAAGTGATTTCATTGGGACGAGTCTTCGTTGTATAAATGGAACTGATATTGCTGGATTTATTGTCTAATTCTGCGTCCATTTTATAACACTTTCCAATGCTTAACGTTTAACGTTCCCATTGGTACGGGAAGTGTCGTCAATTCAAGGGTAACGTGGCACCAGTGAAACCCGCCATTACTGCATTGCACTTCTAGTATTAATTAATATTAATATTATTAATATACAAATTTCTTTAGTGCACAACTGCCACATAACATATCATATATTGTATAGAGCAAGACAATATTATATTTACATAAAACTAGATAATAAAGAGCATACTTGATAAAATATATAGATAAAAATTGTTAGATAAAATTACATGTAATTTAGAAATTAAAAATAGCTCTGGATAATCTATGTAAAAAGATCACTGGCTTAAGCCTTTTTAAATAAATATGTCTTTAGTTTAGTTTTAAAAGTAGCAATAGCATTTCAATTTGAATTTGTAATTTATTCCATAACAATGGTGCTTGTACATAAAATGACCGGTAACCATATGATGATAAATTATAAGATCGCTGTATAAGTAATGATGTGTCAGTAGCTAAATGTGGGACTTAAACTTAGTAATATTCAAAGTTTTGTTCTTGGTACATTTGAACCAGTTTTTATTTCATTATATCCGATAAATGCTAGACATTACACGCAACGTTTGTGATCATACATGGTAACAATATTACGATGAAGGTGCCTATGTACGATTGGCTAATTTAACTGAAATTTAAAGTATAATTCTCGCGCCAATTTCCATATGAATAATGTCTGAAGAAAGAGTTTATATTTTTATTTTCATGGAATGTTCTAGCGTCAATGATTGTATTATGAATAGGGGTTATGTTTTTAAATAAACATTACACATGCTATATATTTATAAAATTTGGCAAGTATTTGGATTGGAATAGAGTAGTAGTCTTTGCCGTGCCAGTTCTATTATTTCGCAGACGATGTCACTCAACATCGTAGGGCGACAGTTACTGAGAAATTTGCAGGAAGTCATTTCTTTTTACCTTCATCCATATGTAAGTCGCTGTGGAGTACAAGACGAAAACGCGACTTCCATAGAAAAAAGGACAGACTTATACCCTGAAAAATATGGTAAGTGATTCGAGCATCCTGAAACAGTAACAAGCCATTGCCATGCAACATAACCCTTATTTTTTGTAAGAGATGAACAGAAAACAAGCTAAAAAAGGCGATTTTTCATACAATCAGGGGCCATAATCCAGAAAGTTAGGGGCCAATACGCGCAAGAATTGAAAGAGAACTCAGACCTTTAGGGTATAAACATATGTTAAGCTTCATTAAAATCGGATAACAATTGTGACCTCTAGAGGATCCACAACCTTGATATTGTAATACTATTTGATAATTTATGCGAAATTGTATTAGTCAAATATAAGTGCACGAGAGGACATTAGTTATAATTTGATAAATACATATTATGTTTTATTTCTATTCTCCATTGTCAGTATATTAGTTATAGTATGAGTTTATTTAAAACGCAAACTAAATTGTTTATGAAATATTGTGAGAATAACAGGAAAGGGGGTCGTGCTGATATGATACATGAATTGAACTATAGGTTAATAAACACATTTGTCATATGCTATCTTAATGGTCAGAAATGGAATGTGTCTGTTGACCAAATTTGGTAATAGGTCCCTGTTGTTTTTTGATCGGAGAAATATTGTGACCTCAAGAGGGTTCCACAAGCTAAAAATGCGATTTTGCATAAAATTAGGGGCTATAATCCGATAAATTACATAAAAGATAGCAAGAGATTTTAACAGTCTAATATTTAAAACTATTTACGATGTGTAATATTTTTATTCTTTTAATTTTATTTTTAATGTTCATAATCTGACATGAAAATGTAATATGTATTTTACCATTACACTCCAGGAAATGTATATGTGTTTGTTACTCACTGTCTATTGTAGACAAAACATTTAAATATTTTATATGTTTGGAGAGAACTTAAATAGGCCTTTGCCTGTTGTTCAATCCATTTCAGTTTATTGAATACAATACTGTTTAAACTAAGTCCAATGTGCGTGGATATCGAAAGGAACCGAGATCTTTGGAATATAAACATATATTTTAAGTTTTATCAAAATCGGATCAAAATTGTGAGCTCTAGAGGGCCACAGCCTTGATATTACATACTTTTACACTATTTGAGTACGAGGAGCGGCTATTTTGTCTGGCAGTTTCGCTCCAATTTTCACGAAATTCAAACTCAACTATCAATATGGTTTACCGATGACATTTTCAAATGTTTCTTTTAAATCCTATTAAAATTTTGACTTCTTGAGGGTCCACAAACTAAAAACATGATTTTTCGTACAGACAGGGGGCATAAACCAGGACATTACTATCCGATATGCGCGAATATCGAAAGGAGCCAAGATCTTTTGGATATAAACATATATTTTAAGTTTTATCAAAATCAGATCGAAATTGTGACCTCTTGCGAATCCACAATCTCTTACACTATTTGCTTACGAGGAACGACCATTTTGTCGAGCAATTTCGGTCAGATTTTCACCAAATTCAAACTCAACCCCAATTATGATGTAACCTTGATATATTTGAACGGTTTTTCTACGCCCACATTTTCATGTGGACGTATATTGTTGTCACCTCTGTCCGTCCACAATTGTTTGTGAACACTCTGAAGGTCAAAATTTTCATCTGATTTCAATGAAACTTGAAATATAGGTTTATCACCCTAAGATCTCAGTTCCTTTTGATATTGGCATGTATTATGGCCCTTGATTGTATGAAAAATCATGTTTTTAGCTTGTGAACACTGTAGAGGTCACAATTTTATCCGATTTGGTTTAAACTTGAAATGTATGTTTATAACCCACAGATCTCAGTTCCTTTCGATATTTGCACATATCGGACCATAACTTCCTGAATTATGGCCCCCGATTGTACGAAAAATCATGTTTTTAGCTTGAGGACCCCACAGAGGTCACAATTTTTATCCGATTAAAAAACCGATACAATATATCACCGTTACACCCTAAGGATGGTTGAATTCGAATTTCGTAGAAATCGGACTGAAAATGACAAACAAAATGGCCGCCCCTCGTTCACAAATAGTGTTAAAATATTGGGTATCAGGGTTGTGGACCCTCTGGAGGTCAAAATTTTCATCTGATTTTGATGAAACTTGAAATTTATGTTAACAACCCACAGATCTCAGTTTCTTTCGATATTCCTGCATATCGGACCATAACTTCCTGAATTATGGCCCCTCATGATTGTACGAAAAATCACGTTTTTTCGCTTGTGTCCCTCTAGAGGTCAAAATTATTATCCGATTTAAAGAAACGTTTGAATATATCACCTTTACACCCTAAGGATGGTTGAGTTCGAATTTCTTGAAAATCGCACCAAAACTGACAGACAAAATGGCCACCCCTCGTACTCAAATAGCGTAAAAATATGGTATATGAAGGTTGTGGACCCTCTAGAGGTGACTTGTTCTTCTGATTTTGATGAAACTTGAAATGTAAGTTTATAACCCAAAGATCTTGGTTACTTTCGATATTTGCGCATATCGGATCTTAACTTTCTGAATTATGGCCCCTGATTGTACGAAAAATCGCTTTTGTTTAACTTTTTCTCTATCCATCTCTTGCAAAATGTGGGCGTATCCTGCCTGGCAGCCGCTGGTTAAAATCAGTTTTGGGACGATTTTCACGAAATACTTACTTGTTGCTATGGTACATGTTTGTCCACACCCATTAGAACAACAGAGTTCACTCCCTTTACAATCAGCATCTGTACGACACATATCAACACACGTGGCTAAACCTTTCTTTACTGCAGGGCATTCATCTTTCTTACAGCCATCTTTACATTTAAAAAAATACACACGATTAAATTGACATACATTTGGTTTATTAGCAGCAGGGGGGGGGGTTAGGGGGGAAGGGCAAAATTTAGCCCTTTAAAGATATTTTCCCGCGTGCAAACTGTGTGATTTTGATGATATATTTGGACTAAAAACATATTCAAACAAATTAATCCATCAAAAACTTGCTTCAAATCCCTCTCAAAACTTTGTTATCGCAGGGAGATACCTTTAGCTATAAATAAACTGTTGTTAGACACCATGTTTGTCACCTTAATTCATTGAGGGAGGGTCCTGCGTTTTTCAGAATGTATTTTTCATTATTTACTGTCCATTTATCATACATATTAAGGCCAAAGTAAATTCTTAATTATTTTCTGTCAACTTCTTTTTCCGCCATTTAATTGCAGAGTCTTTTGTGCGTTTATACCCCTCAATGTTCCCAAAACAGCCTAACCATTTGACCAAGAAATAACAAACACTCCCCCAGTCAAGCTAGCACACAATAAGCTGGCAGACAACAATTGGGATGCCAGTTAGTGAATTACTGACATTTTGGCCCAGTGTTTGACCCAATGGTGTTTTTCGGGTAATCCAGTATTTTTCTAGTAAGATTGGGTGTCTATATATACTTTCAATATATACCAAATTCGCCATACTTTTATTGGAAATAACCACCCGATAAATACTTTTGGGACAATGTATCTTATTGAAAGATTTTTACCTAAAAGATAGAATTTGTTTGCTGCATTGTTTTAATGGAGGATAGAGGTGCGTGTTTGTGTGATAGTGGGGGCGTGAGTGAAGGGGGTAAGCAAGAAGTGTGTTGGCCTGTCAGTTTCATTTGTCTAATAGGAATATATTCAATTATACCAAAATGCCATATTTGTATTGAATGTACCAATTGAACATAATTGTTTCCAATATAAGAAGGGCTTCTAGCTTATAAGACAGTTCTGTAATGCAGATACTACAAAGGCCAGTGTTTGTCTGAATGATAATAATTTATTACATGTCGTTGGCCTATTATCACGCATATGTGCAGTACAAGACCGCCCTCAGTTTTTGGATAATACCAGTTGATCATCTAACTATCATTTACTAATTTAGTGTAATGTATTTATTAAAATATCTATTTGACCTATGGTTTATTTAGACAAAGCGTAGCTCTATCCGAAGTATAGAACTGTAACATGTTTTCAGGCAATCAGGTTTACTCAACCCATGCACTATGCCCAATGTCCATCTCTGGATAACCCATGGATGCTAGTTTGATCGTATGCATCTACACAAGTTGGCAATCGTCTGACCGGGAATATGATCAACTGGACATCAAGATATGGTGAATCATATTCAAAATTACAAAATATATTTACTTTACTGAGGGTAATAACTATTATTAATCTCGATTGTCGTTGATAATAGGCGGGACTGATTAAGAAATTAAGTGATAGACCCCTTTATGGTGTAATACATCTACCTTAATTGATGAATCTGCCTTGATTGATTTCCTTAATCTACCCATTTCCTTTATATCTTAATCCTGAAAACAATTAAAGGTTTCTCCTTTGTCGGGACATTTGTATCCCCTTGATGTTAAAACTAGTCAAAGTTTTTTTACTTCTTGATTGGGAAGTCAACCAACTTGAAAGCTAACCTTTAACAGTTATTCAGTAATTAGTACAAATAGTAATTTGATAATCCCGTATATATTCCATCTCGATAATTATTCAAAACAATTTCTGTCTGTAACTATTTCCCGTCATAATAATTGGCCACATGTTCCCACCTGGCACCCCATAACACAGTATTTTAATCACTGCACAACAAAATATTCCGTAGACTATAAACATACCAAAAAGTATATCCATCTGGAGTGCTAACTGTTATTAGCTATTAATAAATACAGTGAACTTTATTTTTCGTGACGAATTGTAACAAACTACTTTGCGGCATTTGTTCACGATCTCGCATTGCTTTCTACAAAAGATAACCCGAATTGTTCATTTTGGCGTGAAAAACATATCACGTGGGCAAATAACAATAACAAAAGGCGATCATGCCTATTTACGGGTGTCTACGGATGTATTTTTAAAATACCATTTTACAGAAGACAAACGATGTTTCGCCAACAGGAACTATTTTAATTACAGACATTTTGCTTTCATTTTGCTACAAAGACACGTAATTTAGGAGGGATATCACTTACGTGAATTTGGTATATATGGTACGCTTTTTACGAATATTATTGACAAAAATTTAAATACCGTGCAGTGCCAGACATGCAGGAATTATATATGAAAAATAGCGATATGCACCTATTTTTTTATTTGTGTTCAGAACACGATATGCTGCATAACATAAAAAATATTTGTAGCTAAAGTTTATTACAGGGAATGGAAGCTTATTGACCCTATTTTCTGAAGCTGGTAATCAACTTCTGGTGACCTAATTATTGCCTCCATTAAAGCCAACTTAAAATGTCTGACAAGCAAAATTTTAAAATAGCATCCCTGGGGTAATCTAGTTATCATTTTTATTATCCGTGAGAATGAAATTAGGTTTAATGTCACATCATTTTGAGACTGAAGACTTCATTTTTTTCTATGGTTGATCCTGTGTGTAAAACTTGGCGGGTGCATTTTATTTCAATGAATTCTAGTATGTGCATGTCAATGTGTAAATGGATGGGCATGGGTTTGTCATCATATCCAAAAGCATGGCTCACTTTTTTTGCAAGTCCCCGAGTCGGAGCTGGGCTTAAAAAGTCCCCAATGTTCTTACTGGTCCATGCTAGGATTCTGGCACTGGACATTCTATTCAGTGTCCGAGAGAAAATGAAATGGAGTTGGAGAAAATTGAATTCCTGAAGAAAACCCACAAGATTAGGCAATTGACCCTACCACGTAGAAGCTCGGGATAAAACCTTTGCCTTGCCTTGATAACAGGCATTATGATCTACAGTGTACACATTAGATAACTTGGTCACCCAATCACCCTTTGTTTCAACTTAGCCACCCAATCTCTCTTTGTTTCAACGAGTAGTAAAATATTACAAAGTATCAAAAGAAACATACTTGCTCCACAAGAATTACAGCATTCCTCCTGCGTATTAAAGTTGTTATCATTACCACCACAACCACCAAATATAAATTCCTCACATCGTCCATTCTCTTTGTTAAAGAACCATCGGGGCATATACCCGAAACACATTCCCGAATCTTGTAGTATAGAACAAACATCCATAGGTTCATCTGAAACATATGATAAGAACCTGTAAGATACCCACCATCAAATACATGGGTAAATCCTGTAAAAACATCATGTTTTATGCATAAAGTTGTGTCCTCATTATTGTTATCAATGAGGTTGTAGCTTATGAAACATATAAGAACCTGTAAGATACCCACCATCAAATACAGGGCTAAATCCTGTAAAAACATCATGTTTTATGCATAAAGTTGGGTCCTCATTATTGTTATCAATGAGGTTGTAGCTTATGAAACTGATTGTATTATTTAGGTCCAGATATATGGCAGAAATGACCATTGACCCCCCCCCCCCCCGAACCACGCTACACGTGCCACTTTCAAACTTAGGCACGCCCTGTTTACAAGACGAGTTGGTTCAAGCGACACATTAATTAAAGATTTTGTTCCTAACGTCCTAAATTAAGGGTGGCACTTGAACAGGGGCACCTAGAATTTTACATAAAGTTAATACAAGTGACTGTCGTCCTTCTCTATTTTTTGTTAGAAAATAGAAACAGTTGGACCAACGTCTTTAGATTTATGTCTTAAAATCGATGCGATTAACAATTTCCCATCAGCCCATATGCTCCAGCTTGTCTACACACGTTTCAGTACACGACAATAACTGTAAGAATCTGATTTACCTGGACAGCATACAGCGAACGAATCATCGGGTGCTATATCACAGTAGGATCCAGATGGACAGAAACCTGGTGACCCACGACCACAAGAAATAGATTCACCACTTCTCTGTAAAGGTTTAAGTCCTGGTCGACATGGTTCATTTCTAAATGTTGGCTGTTCCTCTGTGTATTAAATAATTGATAATCAAAAACAGCAGAAAATGGCTCAGAGAGAGAGAGAGAGAGAGAGAGATTTAACCTGTACAAGTTTACCCAAGTGGCTCTACCGGAATCGAAATCAAAGGCATGACTCTTACATCAATAACAGTTTTAGGCCCCATGTCTAGATCACTCGGGCATCCACTACACTACCCCAAATTTATAGACTATTTTTCAGTAAAGACTGTTCAGAAAAAAATTGCAAAATCTTCCATAAGGCCATAGAAAAATCTCCTACCCACATCAGCTTTATTTGAAGGATTGTCCGAGAACCAGAATATTTATTTTGTATGGTCTAAGTATATGTGTGTATACCAACCTCTGGCTAAGATGCATTTCTTTCCACATGATGTGAGACAACATTTTCTACCGGAGCTACAGTTCCTGTCTTGACTACACTGATCTTTACATAGTTTACTCTCACCATATCGTGGTGGTTTGGCGGGACAGCTACCTTCTGGTGCTATATAATAAATAAAAATACTACTAATAATGAATATCTATATTGCACACTTTCCATCCAGTCAGTATGCTCATGCCACATGCCACATATGCAAAATTATATAGACATTACAAACAAAAAGCGAGTATGCGTTGCCATTTAAGTTAAGTTATAAGGTGTTTTTTTACACCTGAATAAATTAAGATTGGATGATGTAGGTGATGCATAGTATAATCTAATGTGCCCTGATAATTGGGGCAAAACACAAAATCTGAATCTTCGATTATGACGCCAAGATTGCAATGCATGAAACGGTTAACACACCTAAAATGGTTAGATACCCTTGTTAATTAAACTATTATATCCTGGGCACTACAAATTTTTACACAGAAATTCAGTAAAAAAAACCAGCGGCTGCCAGGCAGGATACGCCCACATTTTCGAGAGATGGATAGAGAACAAGCTAAAAAGAAAGTGATTTTTCCTACAATCAAGGGCCATAATTCAGGAAATTACAATTCAATATGCACAAATATCGAAAGGAACTTATATTTCAAGTTTCAACAAAATCGGATAAAATTTGTGACCTCTATAGGGTCTGGGTCCACAACCTTCATATACCATATTTTTACGCTATTTGAGAACGAGGGGCGGCCATTTTGCCCGTCAGTTTTGGACCGATTTTCACAAAATTCTAACTCAGCCGTCCTTAGGGTGTAACGGTGATATACTAAAATGTTTTTTTTAAATCGGATAAAAATTATGACCTCTATAGGGTCCACAAGCCAAAACACGTGATTTTTCGTACAATCAGGGGCCATAATTCAGGAAGTTACGGTCCGAAATGCGCGAATATCGACAGGAACTGAGATCTTTGGGTTATAAACTTACATTTCAAGTTTCATCAAAATAGGATTAAAATTGTGACCTCTATAGGGTCCACAACCTTGATATACCATATTTTTACGCTACATGAGAACGAAGGACGGCCATTTTGTCTGTCAGTATTGAACAGATTTTCACAAAATTCGAACTCGGCCATCCTTAGGGTGTAACTGTGATATAATAATATGTTTTTTAAATCAGATAAAAATTATGACCTCTATATACCACAAGCTAAAAATGCAATTTTTCGTACAATCAGGGGCCATAATTCAAGAAGTTACGGTCCGATATGCGTGAATATTGAAAGGAACCAAGATCTTTGGGTTATAAACTTAGATTTCAAGTTTCATCAAAATAGGATTAGAATTGTGACCTCAATAGGGTCCACAACCTTGATATACCATATTTTTACGCTATTTGAGAACGAAGGGCGGCCATTTTGTCTGTCAGTTTTGGACCGATTTTCACGAAATTCGGTCTCGGCCATCCTTAGGGTGTAACGGTGATATAATAATAAGTTGTTTTATATCAGATAAAAATTATGACCTCTATAGGGTCAACAAACTAAATACGCGATTTTTCTTACAATCAGGGGCCATAATTCAGGAAGTTATGGTCTGATATGCGCGAATATCAAAAGGAACGGAGATCTTAGGGTTATAAACTTACATTTCAAGTTTCAACAAAATCGGATAAAAATTTTGAGCTCTATAGGGTCGACAACCTTGATATACCATATTTTTATGCTATTTGAGAACGAAGGGCGGCCATTTTGTCTGTCAGTTTTGGGCCGATTTTCATGAAATTGGAACTCAGCCGTCCTTAGGGTGTAACGGTGATATACTAATACAGTTTTTTAAATCAGATAAAAATTATGAACTCTATAGGGTCCACAAGCTAAAAACGTGATTTTTCGTACAATCAGGGGCCATATTTCAGGAAGTTATGGTTCGATATGCACATATATTGAAAGAAAGCCAGATCTTTGGGTAAAAAACTTACATTTAAAGTTTCAACAAAATCAGATAAAAATCGTGACCTCTATTCGGTCCACAACCTTGATATACCATATTTTTACGCTATTTGAGAACGAATGGTGGCCATTTTGTCTGTCAGTTTTGGACTGATTTTTACAAAATTCGAACTCAGCCGTCCTTAGGGTTTAACGGTGATATAATCATACGTTTTTTTAAATCGGATAAAAATTATGACCTCTGTAGGGTCCACAAGCTAAAAACGTGATTTTTCGTACAATCAGGGGCCATAATTCAGGAAGTTACGTTCCAATATGCGCGAATATCGAAAGGAACCGAGATCTTTGGGTTATAAGCATACATTTCAAGTTTAAACCAAATCGGATAAAAATTGTGACCTCTACAGTGTTCACAAGCTAAAAGCGTGATTTTTCGTACAATCAGGGGCCATAATCCATGAAGTTACACTCCGATACATGCCAATATCAAAAGGAACCGAGATCTTAGGGTGATAAATCTATATTTCAAGTTTCATTGAAATCGGATAAAAATTGTGACCTGTAGACTTCACAAACAATTGTGGACGAGTGGACGGACAGGGGCAACGACAATATACGTCCACATGAAAATGTGGGCGTATAAAAAAGCATGCCAACTGCAAGATATGTTATTCTTGGAGTAGCACTGTTTTCATGTCAGTCCCAATACTTTGTAGTCATTAATCAGCCTTTAATCATACTAATTATTAAAGCTCCAACATGCTAGATAAGAATTTTAATACAGAGTTCAATATATACAATAAACATAAATTAATATTATGAAATTATAATATAATTTCTGTCGATGACGTTATTTGTCTGATTATCCAGTACTATAGGTGGCAATCGGATACCTTTATTGCTATCATTTCTTCCCATGATCCTCTGTTCTAGGTGCTGATCTTTCGGTCATTCTTTCTTCCTAGAAGTCGACATTTTGCTAAAGCCACTTTAGAAATAACAAGCCAACAGTAAGGCTGATGTCCCCCGCCGAAATCCCCAAATAAATAGATGACACATATTAATTAATCGCACATCTATTTTTTTCAAAAGTATTGAGCAATCAAACTGATTATCAACTATAGCCTACACTAAGTTTCATCACTCTCTATCAGATAGAATCAAAGTTATCTTGTCCCAAAGCATCGACCAAGGAAATTGCTTATCTCTGCTTAGTATTAGCTCAATATGTTAATCATTGAACTCAGTCGAGATGAGCATCTACATAAAGTTTAAACATTCTACCTCAATTAGAAGGAGAGTTATGTTCGACAGTCTTGACCAATCAAAATGCTTATTGCTCCTTAGCCTAAGCAGACAATTCTCATCATCAAACTTAGTCAAGGTATTGATGTAATGAAACTATACACCAAGTTTCATCACTCTCATTTAATTAGAACTAAAGTTATCGTGTCCCAAAGCATCAACCAATCAAATTGCCTATCTCTACTTATTATAAGCAGAAAATGCTCATCTTCGCACTCTATCAAGGCATTGACCTCATAAACTCCTACACCAAGTTTGAACATTCTAACTCAATTAGAAGGAGAGTTATTGTGTTCCAAAGTCTCGGCCAATCAAATTGCTTATCGCTCTTCTTACCCCGAGCAGAAAATGCTCAATATCAAACTTAGTCAAGGTATTGATGTAATGAAACTATACACCAAGTTTCATCACTCTCACTTAATTGGAACTAAAGTTATCGTGTCCCAAAGCATCAACCAATCAAATTGCTTATCCTAAGCAGAAAATGCTCATCTTCGAACTCCATCAATGCATTGACCTAATAAACACCTACACCAAGTTTGAACATTCTAGGTCAATTAGAAGGAGAGTTATTGTGTCCCAAAAAAGTGTGACAGACAGACAGACAGACAGACGGACGAACCCATTTTAATAGTCCCCTGCTTTCTCCGAAAGGCGGGGGACAATAATCAGTTTGCTGACTCAAAAATTTTTTACTGCCATATCAGAAGAATGAAATATGCACAACATTGTTTCCCGTATTTCGACAGTGTAATTTTGTAGAGCCTTTGTTTGCTGAAGACTACCAGAAACAGAAAAACGAAAATTGCAGAAACTTTGTTCCTGGATTCTGACAGTGGAATTTGCAGAACTTTTGTTTCCTGTATTCTGACATCACTTCAGAGCATATATAGATAAGTTAAGTGTGTCCTAATATGCATAGATCCGTTACGTTTACGGCTGTTTGGTGCTCGTTATTTTTAGGTCAAATGGACAAAGTACATTCCAACTGGCGCTACGCACGGACTGCATTCTTTACGACATATTCATTGTGTCTCAGCTAGCATTTTTTGTTTATGAATTCCATCTAATTTTTGTTATAGTTAGTCCAGTCAATTTATGAAAAAAAAGGGATCAACCCCCAAAGATTGCAAGAAAAGGTTTTTTGATGTTTTTTGGTAGCGTTGGGTGTACTGAATGACATCCTAAAAGTTTACTAAAATTGGAGTACTGGAAAGTCCCAAATTTTGAGGTAAAGTTCAGGTTTTTTATCCATTTTCCTTTAAATTAAAAGGTAAAACTTCAGACAAACAAAAAGTCGTCAGTTTTTAAGAGAAACACATGAAATTTACGTATATTCGTATCTCTGCACTTCTTCATCACTTACTGCCATATTTGGTATGTACATGTTTTGGGGTCCCTACCCCCAATAACTGAAAGATGAGTGAAGCAAGACACAAAAAAAGATGTGCAAGAAATTATTTACCAATTTTTTCTTCATAGAATGAAGGGTGTGATGCCATCTATATGATTTTTAAGACACATGATCGATGAGGTTGTTTTTCATTAACTGAGCAGCTTTTGCTAAAAAAAGCATCAATCTCAGTTTATTTTGCTGGGCTATACAACCTTATAGTTTGCATCAAATTTACTGTTATACATTCATAGCACCTTAAGGTAAGGCCAGTAGCAGATCTAGAAGCTGTGAATAGGGTGGGATGGGGCGCGGTTCCAAATCTAGGACGCCATCAATAATCCCACTTCACAATGAGCATAGATCCCACCCCACAAAGAGCATAGATCATATTGCCTATATAGTTGTTTGCGGTTCGTTATCTTGCCAGAAAGCAGTTTTATTCAAGTTGACATAAATTTCGTG